CTTTCCCTCTTCCCCGTATTCTGATTTTTCTATCCTTTTAGCAAAAGGTGTTTACCAGAAATTGTCACACTTGAGCCTGCTGCTGGGGATGTTTGTCACCTTAGCCAGCACTGCACTGCTATTAAACAGTGGTATTCCCGTATATAGGTTATAGTCATTGGCTTCACTTTAGCTCCCGTGTGGGAAATAGGAAGGTGCGACAAAAAGTCAGGTACTAGGTAGCATATGATAACAGAGATACTTTTTTTTAAAATTTATTTCGATGATCTGAACTTTTATTTTGTCTCTTCATATACCGTACAGAAATTCCTTCTGTATCTCAAACTGCATCAGCTTACCTACTAACATTAATTTCCTGAGTCTACCAAATGTCTTCAGTGGTGGTATCTTTTTTTCATTTTAGCATATCTAGTCTGTAATGATATTTGGGATGTACCTCTTGTTGCATAGGCCTTTGTATGCATGATTTTCAAAGCATAAACAGGTAAGAATCCTTTTAGGAGGTTCCTCCTTTTTAGGAGGTTCCTCAAAAAACCACCAAGATCTTTCAACATAGGCAAATGCAATCTTCTCTGAAATACTTCACAGAACAGGGGCTTCCAGGTATGCTCGGAATAAAGTGAGGGAGGAGAGAGTTTGATGAATCCTAATTAAGATGCTATTTCAAATGTCTCTTGTACTGTGAAAGAGCTTCAGGAGACACAGAGTTAAGATGAGAATGAGGGTGGGAGGTAAATGAAAAAATGTCGGTGCATGTGGAATTTGCAGAGCCTGGAATGTTAAAAAATGTTTTTTTAAAAAAAAAAACAAAACCAAAACAAAAAAAGGCATTTTAAAGGTAGTACTTATAAAGTATTACCTTTGTCTAGAACCAGCTCCATAGGATTCTTTTTTTTCCACTTGTGTCTTTCTTTAGAATCTATTGACTAAGAGTTTTGATCAAATGTATGTGTAATTATGTCTTGACTATTAAGTATTACTTACGGTAGGATCCTACACAATACTAAGGGAAATATAATATCCCCCAGCGCCTTATGTTAAATAATACCTTGATTTTTGCCAGCAACACTCCTATCACAAATGCTGGGAAAAGCCACAGTACCCGTTGCAGAGCTCAGCTTGGCGTGCTCTGCAGTGGAGTACTCGAAAAGCAAGTGCCTCGCTGGCTGTCGGGGTGGGTGGCCTGGGCAGCCGGGCACTTAGAGGGGGCATCAAGCTGGGGGTAGCCAAGAAGATCAGGTACGTGAAGGCGGTCGCTGCTTTTCTGCCCCAAAGGAGGAGTCCTATGAGAATACTCCCTTTAAAAAGTTTTATTTTTTCCTTTTAATTCTGCTGCTTTGAATGTTTCTGATTAATCACATATAGGTCTGTCATGACTGCATGAGGAACTGTTGGATGCCTTTCTCAAAGGTCTTTGTTGTCGTCGTGCTGTGTATTTGATAGGACAGGTTTTACTTTGCTTTGTGTTTGGAGCTGATAAAAATGCTTTTAAAGGTATAGGTGGGAGTACGGTGTGGAAGGGAAGGAGGACTTGATCCCAACTGATAATGAAAAGTAACCCTTAAAGCAAAGAGAGCCTGTGACATACGTGTTTGGGATTTAAGGGCACAAGTTGATGGATAAAACGAAACAGAATTGTATCTAGGTTACAGGGCTTTTTGAGTATGTATTTCAGAGTAGGTGACATAAAACAATTATAGTCTAACCTCTCCGTTTGCAACACTAATATAACTTGCATTACTGCTGTGTTTTGAGTGCCTGTTGGGTCCTCAAAACAGTGTAGTGCTTCAGATCTTTGATGCTTCACAGATTGTAGTATAACTCATTTGCTCAGTTTATGGGGCTTTGTGGGAGGCATGCGCTCTGTCTTAAACTTACTGCAAAAATTAAGGCTGCTGACTAGAAAAGAAATTCAGCAATAGGCATACTGTAAAATACATCAAACTGCCTTGCTACAACTCATGTTCAGAAGGATTGGTCAACAGCAGTCTGTTGGCTGATTATGTTGGTGATATTCCAAACCCTACTACAGGGAAGATGGAGAAAATTCAATATCAAAGCGGACTGATGGAAGAGAAACAAAGGTCAGGAAGATAATAAGAACTTCCTAGTTCAAGTGTTCTTTTATAATACAACTTTTAATTTTCTCTTCAAAGAAATATGTTCCATTTAAAAAGTTGTCATCTGCAATGACAACTGTGCTGTTAATATTCTTTTAGCCTACTCATATTCCATTGCATGAAAAGCATCCTGGCCTGTATCAGAACTAGTGTGGCCAGCAGGAGGAGGGAGGTGATCGTGCCCCTGTACTCGGCCCTGGTGAGGCCGCACCTCGAATCCTGTGTTCAGTTTTGGGCCCCTCACTACAAGAAGAACATTTTGGTGCTGGAGCGTGTCCAGAGAAGGGCAACGAAGCTGGTGAAGGGTCTAGAGAACAAGTCTGATGAGGAGCGGCTGAGGGAACTGGGGCTGTTTAGCCTGGAGAAGAGGAGGCTGAGGGGAGACCTCATCGCGCTCTACAACTACCTGAAAGGAGGTTGTAGCGAGGTGGGGGTTGGTCTCTTCTCCCAAGTAACAAGCGATAGGACGAGAGGAAATGGCCTCAAGTTGCGCCAAGGGAGGTTTAGATTGGGTATTAGGAAAAATGTCTTCCCCGAAAGGGTTGTCAAGCCTTGGAACAGGCTGCCCAGGGAAGTGGTGGAGTCACCATCCCTGGAGGTATTTAAAAGATGCGTAGATGTGGTGCTTAGGGACATGGTTTAGTGGTGGACTTGGCAGTGCTAGGTTAACGGTTGGACTTGACCTAAACAATTCTATGATTCTGTAATTTAGAAAGGTTTGCACAGATCCAGGCTTTGGGCTGAATAGAAGAAGCTGTGTTAGTAAAATAGCTCTTGGTCCTGTTTCCTTCTCAAATATAGGCAAAGAGAAAAAGATTGCTTAACATACTGCCTTTGATGAGCTGAACAGTGTGCATGACTATAATTACTAATCCCCTTAAATATATAAAATACAGAATTTCAAATGACATATTTAATATTATGGAAACTGCAAATACAGGGTGTCCTTTTTGGATTCCATTTCTGTGCTCTTTTAGTGATTAGCAACCAAATGACTACATCATTTAAAAACACAACATACAATTGTTTGTAAACACCTGACTATCAGGGAAACGAAGTAACCCTTTGCCATTACCACTAATGAGGCAAGGTGGTGTTTTGCACCTTTAACAAATAATAACAAGATCTAAATACCTATGTGTTGATTGTCCATTTCTCCAGGTTACCTGAATGTGTGAGTACAACCAATGTTCTTACTTTCAGATGTGGAATCATTTCTCTGTGGCAATGGGGAGTTGTAGTGGAAGAGTCCTGCACTACCCAACCAAGAGATGATGCTATGGTGTAACACTTCGTAATGAGATGCCTAAACTTTGGGCCCGGATTTTGCCACAGATTTTGCAGAATTTAGTATTATATTCCTTCAGAAGCCTATGTAGATATCATTGCGTAGATTGTTCTTTTTTTTAGGTAGTTTTATGGGGCTTCAGATTCGGAAAGTGCTATTTTTTAAATATTTCAGAATTTTGCTAAATTAATATATATATATGATTTTAAATTTGCTTTCCAGGTACCCCTTCTTTTTTACAAATAAAATTATGATTCTTTCCCTCACATTTTATATGAATGTGTATATCTTAGAGGAGTAAATAGTATAAAATCATCAGCAGCTTGAAATAGTTGCCAGCATTGCCTTTCCCTTTGTCTTCTGCAAGTCATTCAGAGGCCAGCTCTCCATATCTCCTCATAGGAAATCGGTTGCTACTTTTTCATCCTCTCTCTTAAAGAAAGAAGAGGTTTTGCTGAGCGAGCTTATTAGTCAGAGGAAGAGGGAATTCTAAAAGCAGAAATGATGTAAAGTGAAGGGCGACAATTCTTTTCACTCATCCAAAGGAGAGGTGGGAAGAAGGGATATAGTCAGAAGTGTTTTCATATAACTTTTTAAGAGAAGAGTTTAGTTCATGAAGTTGATCGATGAGGTTGGTGGGGTTTGGATTTTTTTTAAGACATCTGAACATGAAGTTTCAATGGAAATGTACTTAATATATCAAAAATATCAAAGTTACACAGAGTGACAACTTTGTGTGGAATAGTCCTTGTTAAGCACATTTTTGTTTTGACCCAGCATAACCCTGAATTTATAGAGGATCTTCTCCATGTTTTTAGGGCAGTTCCTGTTGACTCATTTTTACCAGTCCTTTTAGGCAGGGAGTTTTTGTGCATTTGTTTGCTATGTCACTGCAGGTTGGTTGGCTGACTGCTCTAATGGATTGATTCTCCTTCTGCAATAAACTCAGAAATGGTGGTAAACTTCATCCACCCTGATAGTGGAGAGCACTGAAAGATATGAAGCTCTTAATCTAGCTGATGACTTTCTCTGACCAATTAATGGGAAGAGACCTCACCACTGGCAAGAGAAAGGCTTCGGTGTGAAGTCAACAGTTAACCTGTTGATCTGCCCTGCGTCCTTCAGCATGTGCGCTCTTGCTGATCAGTCAGAGCTTGTACGTGCTGCCTCTTGCCCAGCTTGTAATGAGGGAAAATGGGAAGGAATTAGCAACATTATTGAGGTGGCTAGTGTGGAACTGGAGACTTTTTAAAAAATGTAAAGGGTGAGATCAAAAAGAATATAGGAGTGTGGTGGCACAGGGCACAGAAATTAGAGGATTGCCAAATGTAATCATCTTTCTACACTTAGTGTGTTTCCACATGACTTATGATAAAGTTGCTGAGATCTTCTAGGTGATAATACTGCAGAGGTCTGTCTTTTTTTTCTCTCTTTTTTTTTCTTTTTTTTTTCTTTTTTTTAAATTCTTGCTTTAGAATACAACAGGTTTTGGTCACATTTGAGGCTGGAAGCTAATTTACTTATCTTAAAGAATGCCAGTCTATGTTCGTATTCAGACTTAGGTGCTGAAGAACTTTGTTCTTTTTTTTCAGATATTGAAAAATATCACGTGGTATGCTGAGCGTGTCTTAACAGAGATCTCACTTGGGAGTCTCCTGATACTAGTCGTCATAAGAACCATCCAGTACAACATGACACGGACAAGGGTAAGAGTTCCATGTAGCACTTACGCACGTAGTGTGGATTTCTAACTTCAACAGCATGAATTAAATTTCAAACAGGGTGTGGGATTTTCTTCATTCTGTGCAACCAGTTGGCATCTGAATTTACAGGAGGGAAGGAATGGGAAGATCAGCGGTATTAAGCACGATTTTAAGTGGTTCTGAACTTGTAACACCATTTCTGTATTATCATTCAATTCCTTGAGTAGGTTTCTCTAAAGGCACTGAACTGCTCATCTTCAGATGAGAAGGAAAAGTTCCTTAAGTTGATCAGAAGAAATGATTCCTTATAGGTTGTTTGTCTCTATTCAGTTACTCAGAAGTGGGAATTTCAGCTCTATTTATTGTTAGTGTTTTTATGAAGTAGGACAGTGACTGAGCCCTAAAACCTTTTTGAACTCTAGCAAAGCAAAACTTTATAGCCTTGTATCAGATTGTTTTTGTGCATTTTTCAAGCATTTGATTCTATACCTTATCTCAAATATGTAAGCATGATATAATACACTTTTGAATATTTTCAACAATTAAAGGCACAGAAGTTTTTACATGAAAAAGTAGCAAAAAAATATTTAAATGTATTTTAAATTGGAAAACTTAAGGATCTCACTTTTATGATCAAAAGAATTGGAAGAAACGAGGACATTCTTGGCATGTATTTGTAGGATTTGGCATCTGTTATATTATGTAAATGCATATTTTAGACTTGAATAGGGAAAATAAATCCCTGTTGGATTGGATAAGTGGACGAGTTTGGTTCTGTGAAAACCCTTGACTTTGATAGGGCCATCATTTAAATGCTTATCTGGTCAAATGGTTTCAGGGATGCTAACCAGGGGACCAGATCTCTGAAGTATCGTATGGTTTTAGTTGTGGGATATATAGAATGCTTTGAAAGAGTTAATAGCGAGATGAGTTATGAAGCAGAAAATTTTAGGGTAAGACTACAAAAAGGAGAGAGAGGAAGGGAGAGGAGGAGAATGTCTTTCAGTATTTGTTACATCTATGATGTCATTGTAAATCAACATTGCTAAAGATATGCAGACACACACATATACATATGTGTGTATACATACACACATACACACTCTGAAATCTGTATGAAACAATCACGCTTTTATAAGCCTTATATTTTAAGAAAATGTATTTAAAACATCACCAAGTATATATACTTTGCATTTCTGCTATATGCTTTTGACCATTTGCTTTAAAGCCAGATATATTACTCAGTCTTTTGAATGATTCCTGCAATAGGTGTCAGTGTGTATCAAAAGGAAAATTTGATGTGTTTTTTTTCTTTCCTCTTCTTTCTGACAGGACAAATACCTTCATACAAATTGTCTGGCAGCCCTAGCAAATATGTCAGCGCAGTTCCGCTCACTTCATCAGTATGCCGCTCAGAGGATCATCAGGTAAATATAAAACTTCAGAAATAGACTTCTCTTGAAACTTATCTTTGCTGAAACTCAGGAGCAGAGGAACTTGAATTTTATATGCCTTCATAGATACTCATGAACTAAATAGCTAACATGATAGCTGAATAACTAAATAATCCCAGAATAAATCTTATTTGCTTTATACTTGAATCTGTTCTGAATGCACAAAAAATATTAGTTTCTCTGTCTGAGAAACTTTTGACTTTTGATTCTCGTAACAGAACAGCTCGGTAGCTGCTTTCAAACCGGAAGGCTTTCAGGGATTGGTGTGAATTATGGTTTTTTTTAGTCATGTATCACGTTATTATAAAAATGCACTGAGTGGTGATTCTCAAGTACTATGCAGACTGGATTTTCAACTTGCTTTACTTCTTCCTTCATATTTGGAAAAAGGTCTATTTGTTACATCAGACATAACGCAATGATCATTTTGTAATAGGGCCCTACAAATATGGGTAATAAAACCTACACCCGTGCTTTTCAAGTGATAAACTTTATTAGCTTGCATAGTAATAAATAGTCAATATCTGTTCTGGTTTGAAAACGGGGCCATAACTTTAAAGAGGCAGATATTGAAGTTGGTCCTTCGTATTTTGTATCTGTGCTGCAGACCACTTTGTAAAGGCAGGTAATCATGCATCAGGCATCCTTCTTACTTTGGCAGCCAGCCCCGCTCCATGCTCCAAGGGAAACTGGGAAGGTCCTTGTTAATGCGATCTGGAATAAACTGTTATAGTGCTTGTCAAGTACAGACAGTGTGCCAAAAAAAAAAAAAAGATAATTGCGTGTCTGTACACTTTGTGAAGGACTGGGTTAGCAAGAGATACATCTTGTTCTTAAACCAGTGCACTTTAGGATTTAATTCTCTCCGAGCCCCTTCTCTTTTGGAAATGGTTGGTTGTAAAAGTATGAACAAGTAACCAGAATGAATGCATTCTGCCATTACCTTTTCCCTGCTTGACATTCGCCCTGTTTTCCCGTTAGTATCACAGACATTGTCTTAAATACCTGCTCTCTTCATTTCTCAGATCATAGACATGGAGTCTGAGTTTTCCAAGCATTTGCAAACGTTGGCCTCTGAAATCATAGATCCTAGCGTGGTGTGAGATACGCTACCTCGATGCTCAAAAACGTGGTCTGGTTTTTAGTGTGATACTTTGTTTTCCACTTCAGAGCTTTTTCCCATGTTCCTGGTTTCTGATTTTGTTCCATTTTATTCTACTGCTGTTTCCGCAGACCACAGCAAGATGTGTTCCTCGGGTTATATTTGGGCCAGGAAGAGGTTATCTTGCTAGTCCTGTTACAGCCGGCTGGTACCACCACTCAGTAACCTTGTAGTTATCTAGCGTAACTGCATGTGTATTTCTGTGTGGCTTGGCTTTTGTCAAAATGCTCTGAGTTTATGGGCATCTACTGTTCAAAATTTAAACTCGTGGTTCAAAGTAAGCTCAGCTGGATTATTTTGATCTAATTGGGTTATGAAATGGCTAAGGATGTGGTCTGCTGGCTTACCAGAAGAGGTGGCAGCCGTCAGTAGAGAAGCAGCAACCTCAGTACCTTTGCATACACGTCTCACCTCGACCTTAAAACTCAGAAACGTAGAAGGAGCCTTTATGTGCTGTGAGGCTCCTCCCTGCACCACCCTTTTCCAGCCTTCTCACATGCGGTTTTTACATCTGTAATGGCATCTTTGATGCAGATTGACTCCCTGATGTTTAAGATCCATCTCAGGACCCAAGGAAGGACGTGCAACACCCAGAAATTCTCTTGCACTCCATGTATGCAACGTTGCAATAATCTGCTGTGATGTTTGGGTGCCTTATTCATCATGTCTCTAGACATGCATAGTCACAATGAGACTTTAACATTGCTGCTTGATTTTAGTTGTGAAGTAATTGTGCTGATATTCTTACTGAAGGCAGACAGACTTCTGTTGTTACTTAACACTGATGCATGCGGAAAGGAGTCAATAGGGGTGAATGACAGAAAACTTCTGTCACATTGAAATTGTCTGTCAAATTATCTATTTTTTATTGTGTGAAGGACTAACAAAGCCACACTTGAAATGTGCCAGATAGAAAGAGAGACCTTAGAGCAAACACATAGTACTGGCATATTCGAAACTCTTAGTGCTTCCAAAGATGTAAGCTCTTAGTAGCTACTGTTGGTTGGTTTCTGTATGGCTTTTAGCAGAGAGACTTCGCATGGGATCTGAGCTGGGCAGTATTATAAATAATAACCAAACAATATCCAACCAACTGTGGTGTGGCAGGATAGCAGTCTGAGAAGGATGCTGGGTATGCCAACCACTGGGTGCCAGCAGGGTTGGAGCTGTATTTTTGTAGTTGGATATAATGTAAGGATAGGTACAGAAAATGGACATACTCATCAACTGAAAAAGCAAAAAAAAAAAGGCAATATGATATATCATATATAATATGATATTCTTACATAGTCCAAAGATATTCCACGCTGTTATTTTTAAGCTTCTGTCTTGTTGTAGCCAGACGCTCCATATTACTATAGTGTAGAAATTGTAATGAAGGAGGTGAATCTAAATTTAAAACAGAAAAACAAGAGGAGAGTTAGGGAATATATTTGATTCCCACCCCACTCCCCTCAGTTTTTATGTGTAACGTTGACCGAAGATCTTATTGTGCAAGTAGAAAACTGTACATCTGGACAATAGGCAAAACCGGCCACCACGTCTGGGATTTAATTTGTCACTATGATCATGATTGCTTATAAATCAAAAGACCCTACTATAAAAATGTATTAAAATCTGTGGTGAAATGTCCTGTGGGGCTAGGACGTGGGCAGGCTGGAGGGAAGAGTCAGTTCCAGGGGCAGCCTGTCTCCCGTAAGACTTTACTGCTAGTATGGTAACGTTTTCTTCTCAGGAGCTTTACAACCTTGGGTTCCCTGGCAGGCTTAAGCACCATAAAGGAAGTATTTTAACCTCATTTCCTCTCAAAATACACAGATTTGTTACAAAGTTTCAGTTAGCAAGAAAAGCAATAGGAATAAACACATATGTTTCATAAGAGATTGATGTTTTGAGGCATACATTGTCCTTCCTTTTCCTACCTTATGAAGTCTGTTAGCCACTATTATTAAATTTAGCCAGCACTGATAGACTCGGCTTGCTCCATGATGCCAGAGCAGAATTTTTATATTTAAATTCCTATTCTGGTTCTGCCATCAGAGTGCAAGCGTCTGAGAGAATAAACCACAGTATTCATAATGAAAAAGTGTTTTCTGTGAAGAAAAAGCCTAAAAAGAAGATGGTACTTTATATTACATGAAGTATTTTAGGGTATAGGTTTTTAAATTAAGTAGCTGTGAAACACTTAGCTTAAAATCTGCTTAGCAATACAACAGTCACAATTTAAGCCTCACCAGATGCTCTAATGATTCCTTCCTTAATGTGAGAAGTAATTCCATTTCCATGCAGGCTTTTTCCTAATCCTATTCTGAGCAGAGACTGTCAATTGTGTTAAATTCTGAAGACTATTTTCTATGAAAGAATTAGCTGAGAATATTCAATATAGTGTACTTAAGAGCTCAGTAAAATACAACTTCATAATGTTGGGTAATTTGTATCAGGTTCCAGCAAGCATGAAAATTGACAGATTTGTATAAATCTATCACAAGCAGCTGCTGGAAGTAAAAATAGATGTAATAGATGTTTTATAATAAGATCCAGGGCAGTATTCATTTAATGTTGGATGTCCTCTATTGTAGACTGCCCTGACTTTGAGATCCTTCCCTTCTCTATCCGCTGTTACCACTGGTTTGTTTTTAATTACACAGAGCTATTTTATCAGCATAGTGCCAAGGGTGATATTGCACTGCACTGTGTCTCTCTCATATTTGTGGAGTGCTGACATTTGTAGTATCTTTAAATTATATTGGTAGACTATTATAAAAAAATAAAATGTGTGTTGATGTCATTATTGTCACAACTGACTGCCAGAGGTGGCTGTATAGTCTCTAAGCAACAAAGCACAGCCAGGTGGAGTGTTACATACCTGCAATGAGGGGAGGTTTTCCCTTTGCTTGGTTTCTATTCTACAAGTACAATTACCAAAAGTAAAGCCACGCACCTAACTGGCATATTAGTGCAGGTATTCCATTTGTCACTTAAAACTGCAAGTCCATTGGCATTAATTCCTTTAATCTATTTGGAAACAGCTTTCATGATATTCAGCTTTTCTGCAGCTAGCCTGCCTGCTCTAGGATGTGTGACACTTGGAAATGAAGAGGAGCGTCTTTCCCTGAACAGCTATATTCTGACATCTCATCACCATGCCATTCTAACAAAATTAGTGACAAGACGAAGACTGATTACTTAAGGCAAATGCTTTTCCTATAGCTTCATATATTGGAATGTTTGCTGTTTTCTAAGCAGGCATATACCACTAGAGGTTGCCATACACCTCACTAATTAGACATGCACGTTTAACATTAAATGACTTTATGGGCTAGAAACCCTATCCAGTTTTCTTTTTTTTCTACACTATCACCACAGCTATTCACATCCAGGGCTGTGTGAGCCACTGAGAATAGTTTATCATTGCACTTCTCCCCGTTAGGATGACTTAAGGAACTTAAAGATGGCATGTAATTCTATCAGTGTCATATTTTGTTGATTTCTTTGGCTATCGTAGAGAGCTCAGTGGGATTCAGGGAATGATATGAAGAAACGTTTCTGTCATCCTCCTGGTGCTCATAGGAGTCAAGTGGAATTAGGAAAAAAGGTGTGCTTAGAAGAGATACAGATCAGAGACTTTAGCTTGTGCATGCTATAGGCTGCAGTATGTTATGCTTGATTGTCATCGTAGCCCTGCTATACCTGTTATGAGAGCAAAGCGCGAGACGTAAAGCCGGCCGTGCTGATTCTGTTGCCGTCTGGAAGAAGCAGAGATAGTAACCCTACTTCTGACTGGTCAGCCAGCCTGGAAACTGATGGTGAT